TACCTTCATTGAATTTCTTTCCATAACCCCTTGTGCATAGTCATTCCTTTCTTGAGCTCTTTGTATTGCTTCAAGAACTCTCTGAAGGGCTGGTTTTGTAGACATGAATTTTTTCAGCCTATTTATGTCATGGAAGATTTTTCGTTCCCCTTCAACTATTATAGACATTTTGGCTGGGTAAATGCTGGGAGCTTTACTGTATGCACAGCCATTGCAGCTTGCCTTGACTTAAGCATTGAAGAAAGAAGACTACCACTTTAAGAGTTTCCCCGCTCGCTGCTTCTGTGGTTTGAGTTGACATGCTATGCTTCCCCTGATTAATTGGCAGTCTTAGAAACATAACTAGAGTACTGTTTCAGCTTATAGGCACCGAAGTCTCTCAGCACTGATAGCTTGGTTTCTATGTAAGAATAATGAATTAGAGTAGTTGTCAAGAGCAATCATAGCTGAATCTTGGACACTGTAATCTTCATGTGAGTTTCAGCTGGTGAGGAAATGTAGTAACGTACTGTGTCCTTGGTTATTCCCTGGTTACTTTCTGTTAATGATGTATCCTTAGTTATTCCTTGGTTACTTCTTGGTTACCCCTGATCTGATTCCTATATAAGCTCTGTTTGATTCACAATAAACATGCACTGGCATCTAAACCTCTGCATCACCGGTGTCTTAATTTCTATCCATCGGGGTCCCCAAGCCCATCAGGCTTGAACTGTGGTCACTGTACCATAACAGGTAAAGTAATCTGGGTTGGCATCTGTGGTCATTTAGGACTGGGACTACTTTGGTCCAGGCTCTTCTAGTTGTCATAGTTGGCACTGAAAAATCAGCTATAATCCTGATGGGTTTTCTTTATATGTGACTTGTTCTTTTTGTTTTGCAGCATTCAGTATTCTCTCTTTGATCTGTATGTTTAGTGTTTTTACTATGATGTGCCGTGGAGAGTTTCTTTCCTGGTCCTGTCTATTTGGTGTTCTATATGCTTCTTGCATTTATATGGGCATGTCTTTCTTTAATCTTGGGAAATTTTCTTCCACAATTCTGTTGAAGATCTGGTCCATGCCATTATCTTGGGATTCTTCTCCTTCCTGTATGCCTATGATTCATAAGTTTGTGGGGGTTTTTTTGTGTGTAGTGTCACACAATTCTTGCATATTCCATTTTTGTGTTTTGATGAATTTTTCATAATCTTTGCTTGAGTGGTCTAATTCGTCCACTTTATCTTCCAGTCTTGATACTCTATTTTCCATTTCATTCATCCTATTGGTGAGGCTTTCTTCTGTCGTTTCTAATTGGCTTACTGAGTGTTTCACTTCCTTCTTCATTTCAGTCTGAGTATTCTTCAATATTTCTAATTCTTCTATTAATTCATTCAGAAGTTTATTCCTATCTTCTTTCAGTTCTTTGATTTGTGTGTTCTTGAAATTCACTGAATTATTTTATCATGTTTTAATTGTTCTTTTGAGTCCCATGTCCTGTGTTATCTCTAGGGTGTTCTCATTATAGTCCTCTAGAGTACTACTGGTACTTGGGGATATATTATTTTGGTTTTTCATGTTATTATTTTTTCTCTTTGACTTTGACATGTGGATTTCTTTCATAGTTTCTTATCCTTGTGTGAGACTCAACTTCTTTTGTTGAGTTTAGATCTGCTTCTTTTTGTAAACTTTATGTGCCTTTGTGGTTTACTTGGGCATGAAAAGCTGATTGGTTCAGGCTTCAGGTTCTCTCTTTTGATTTTATATTGGAGTGGCCTAATTGCTTTTGTCTTCAGGAGTTCCCACAGAGGCCCAATTGAGATGAGGCTCAGATGCCCTCAGGCTTTCTCCTAAGGTCTGGTTCCCTCTAGGAAAGATGCTGCCCTCAGGAATCTGGGGGCTGGGCTGGCCTGGGAGAAGGGCCCAGGATAGATACTGGTCTCAGGAATCTGGTGGCTGTGCCACCCAGGGAAGTAAAGGGAGGTGAGGGTGGGAGCAGGCCCAGAAGGTTCCTGGGGGCCACAGGGGGGAACTGAATTGGTCTGGATGCAAAGGATCAGAAAGCAGTGGTGGCTCTGGGTCGAGAACTTAGCCCTGGTGTCTGGGGTGCCAAGACAAGAAATGGGCCTGTACCCAGGCTAGGGGGAGAGACACGGTGGGGGAGCTAGGAGGGTGAAAGAGGCTAGGGGAGTCAAGGCGCGGTGGGTGCACTGGACTTACCCAGGACAGGTACTGGCACCAGGACACTGGAGGCTGTGCAGCCTAGGAAGCAAAGGGAGGTAAGGGCGGGGCCAGGCCCATAGGGTTCCTGGGGACCACAGGGAGGAACAGGGTTGGTCCAGATGCAAAGGATCAGGAACAAGTGGTGGCTCTGGCCCAAGAGGTTAGCCCCAGTATCTGGGGTGTTTTGGCATGGATAACACTGATAAAGCAAGCTTTTTTCATCATGCTGAAGTCCCCAATAGGACCACTGGATTCTTAGACTGTTTTCTGTCTTAACTGTCAGTCCAGTGACCTTGGGTAACTGCTTCATTTCCTGGGCTAAAATAAAGCTAAGGAGAATAAACTGGTAAATGATGCTGAAAGACAAATAGACATACAGAGTGCCTCGGAAAGTTTTTCTAGGAACTCATAAAACTTACCAAGACTATAATGTAATAGTACTTCATCAGAGGAAATAGTGGGCAAAACTACCTACCCACATTTAAAAAATTTTTTATTAAAAAAATTTAACTCACAATGCAAGTAAATCTGAGCCCCTAGTAATAAAACACAGAATTTAAGTTTTACATATATTCTCAAAGACCATATAGAGGAAGGAAGGTGAGATTGAACTGGAAGGCAGAACTAGTAAAGCCTAAAGTACTTTTCATGCGCTCTAAAGATGAAGTAGATTTCAAAAGAGATAGGCCAGATGCCCAAAGTAAAGAACTTAGATAAAGCTCCTACGAAAAACAATGACCTTTTGGGACTAGAGTAGAAAATTTAGAAGCTATAACAACTAAAAGGTAATTCTTTTGTTGCTGTTAAGACAGTGTCTCACGTAGTTCAGGCTGGCTTCCAACCCCCTATGTAGCTCAAGTTAGACTTGAACTCCTGATCTCCACCCTCCATGTCCCAAGTGCTGGGATTACTACTATGTGCCACCAGGTCACAGTTGACAGGTTTATACAATGCTGGGGATGGAATCCAGGGCTTCATTAATGCTAGGCAAGCACTCACACCAACTAAACTACATCCTCAGCCCCCAAAGTTTCTTTAAAAAGGTAAAAGTATATTGCAATTGCTCAAGTTAAACCACTAGGCTCCTGGGAAAACTCACATTCAACCCATTTGTTACCAGGATAATTTATCAGCTTTGTCCTCAACTAGGGTGACCTTATTTACTGAGTTCTAACTGTGTAAATAGGGCAGTACCTGGAATTTCAGGTCTCCTAAGAAAACAGTATTCTATGCCTTAGGGAAATTTATAACTGTTTCTCAAGCTATGAGTTCATCCTGTCATAAAGAATGACAATGTAAAATAAATAAGGGTTCTGGATATCTTTAGTGTCAACTTGACACACCTGGGTTGAGAGAGCCTCAAGTGGGAAATTGCCTCCATAGGACTGGCCTGTAGCTATGTCTGTGGGGCATCTTCTTGATTGCCGAGTTATGTGGTGCCACCCCTGGACACGTAGGCCTGTGTTGCATAAGAAAACAGTTTGAGCAGGGGCCACGGGAGCAAGCCAGTAAACAGCATTCCTCCATGGCCTGTGTTCCAGCTCCTGCCTCCAAGTTCCTGACCCGAGTTTCTACCTTGGGCTCACAATGAAGTGTGACCTGGGAGGTGTAAGCCAAATAAACCCTTTCCTCCCCATGTTGGTAGTGGTCAGAGTGTTTTGTCACAGCAATGGAGAAACTAATTAGAACAGAAATTGGTACCAGAGTTGGGCACTGTGACAGACCTGATGTTGGAGGATTGTGGAAGCCTTTGGAACATTGGGCTGGAAAAACCACCTGTCTCCTTTAAGGCCATAGATAACATTCCTGCATTCCTGCCAGTTCCTGAGTAAATAATCTTGAGGAGACCTTTAAGCCTGGGCACTAACTCGACTCCCCACTAAGTGTAGTTGCATCTCACAACCCTGGTATAACACCCCCCCCCCGCCTGGTTTTCTTTGTCTAGTTGTAGATGCTTAGTTAACCCACCAATAGCCTCTACCTCTCACTGTATCTTCTTTGAATAAAGGAAGATATATTCCTTGCCTGTTGCAGGTCTGGCTCTGGTTTCTTATATACTACTCCTCTATCTTTCCTTTTATTTTCCAAAAATCTAACAGTCGGGAACACTCCCTGTTACATTCAAATTACCTGCCAGGTGCCTGAACACAGATTGTAATCTCTGGTAGGGTTTCTCCATTGTGGTTATCTTAATCTTTCCTGCAGCACTTTCTATGGTATAAGTGGTTTATACCCACAGGTCTTAAGTTGTGAAATCTATGTATGTGTGTAATCATTTTGTACTACCTGGAGAGTTTCACCTACCATGACCAGCACCCACATTCTTACATTCTAACTACAATTAGAACCTATTGCTATGATTTCAGCCAACCAATCAACCAACCAACCCACACACCCAAATCACAAGTTCCTTACCTTCTCTAAAGCATGGTGGGTGGGAGTGGGGGTAGGTGGTACAGGAGCGGGTTCAGGGGACCACAGGAAGTAGGGAGAGAGTTCAGGGGACCATACCTTGCTGGTCCCCAGTGGGATCTAGGAATAGGAGAGGGAACGTTGGGTGCATTGGCTGAAGGTTGGGGATTGGACAGAGCAGGAAGTGGGTCAGGTACGCAGCCAGACCCAGAGCTGGGACGAAGTGGGTGACTGAGAGGAAATAGAGGACCATACCCAGCAGGGAGAAGGTCCGCGGGTCAGGGCTGAGCCTACGGCCAGTCAACAGTCGCAAACCCAAGCCCCCTGCGGATGCCCACCGAAGTCCAAAAGTCCCGTGTCCCGCTCGCGCCTAGCCCAGAGAAGCCTTACGATCGATGCAGAAGGCTACGCTCCGATGGCCGGTCTGGGCAGGGGCCCAGAGAAGGCCGTGCAGGCATCCGAGTCTCTTCACCAGGCGCTGAGAGCCGCACCGTAACATTGTCGCAGCTGCTACCAGAGAGCCCTGTTTCAAAGACACCGACTCCCCCGCCCCCCCCCCGACCCCATCCCAGGCCATGACCTGAGGTCCGTGAGCCTCCCTGGAGCACTCTGGAAGTTGTAGTCCACCAAGCCCTTGAAGCACGGGCTTCACGTGAACTACCAGGGTACTGAGACTGCAGCTCCCAGAGATCCCCAGGGCAGCACAGCTCGGACGCGTCTTCCGAAGTCAGCGGGGCGCAGTAATTTCCCCTGGGCTTCTGGAGGTGGCCGGGTTGTCTTTTTCAGAGGCTGGTGTGTTCAGAGAAGGGTGGCGGGTGAGAGGGGGATGAAGGAGGGGCTGAGGAGCGTTTAGGGGCAGGTTAGGCAGATTATGAGAGATAGAAAGGGCGTAGATACCGGCGGAGAGGATTCGTAGGGGCTTCTTAATGCCTCCTCTTTACATGTCTGTAGCCCTTTAGGCTTCCTCCCATTGTGTCCATATTGGTCTGTGCAGGCCTTAGAAGACAAGAATTACTTCTTGCATTTCCGGATTGACCGCTTCAGCCTCCTGAAGAGACCATGCCGAGACCACGGAAGAGGCTGGCTGGGGCTGCTGGCCAAGGTGAGCTACCCCGAGGCTGCAAAAGGCAGTGCGTTTCCCTAAAGCCCGCAGCGCTCATTCGCCACTCCCTGTTTGTGGAGGGAGACCTCTCAGGGTTAACTCATCCTCATTCTTCGGGCCAAGCGTCTACTTGGAAGTCCCTTTCATTTATTTGTCTGCTCAAGGAACAGCTATTAAGCATTAAGGACATTTGCCGTTCAAAGTGATGCCTGTAATCCCCGGAGGCTGAGACAGGAGAAATACCTTGAGTTCAAAACCAACCTGGATTACATAGTTGTGAGTACGACGCCTGCTAAGGCTACACAGCAGAACTTGTCTCAAAAAAATATATGTATACGTGTGTGTAATTTATATATCCTTTCCTATAAAGTTGGTGGGAACAGATTATTCTTTTTTTAAAAAATCACATTTATTTTAGAGGGATGTGCCATGGTGCAAGTGTAGCAACTGGACAATTTCTAGGAGTCTGCTCTCTCCTCCCACCGTGTATATCCCTGGGAACAAACTCAGGTCATCAGCCTTGGTAACAAGCACCTCTATGTGCTGAGCCATCTCACTGACACACTTATTTTAAGTGAAATAAGCTAGGCACAGAAAAACAAGTAGTAAATGGTCTCTTGGAAATGGAGGCAGGAAGATCAGGAGTTAACATCATCCTTAACTACCTGTTGAGTCTGCTATTTATTTGTGCATGTACCACTGCACATAAGAGGTCAAAGGACAACTTGCCCAGCTTAAAATCTTTTAACTCCAACTTGGCTTCATTCTGCATGGCTTTGAAATTCTTTTATGTGGTGTTAAAAGGATCCCCAGCCTGTGAGCTGAGCTTCTCAGGCAGCTTTTGGCAGTAGTCTGCTGCATTTCCTATTGCTATAGGCAGTGTGGCACAATCAGATGACTACAGATCATGACAGTGTACACAGAACATGTCAAAACAGCAGAAAGGAATTTTAAATGCTCTCACCAAAAAGAAATGAGAGAACTGGATGTGATGGCTCATGCCTGTAATCATTCAGGAGACTAAGGCAGGAGGAGTGTGGAGAGTTCCAGGCTAGCCAGGGTTACACAGTGAGACCCTGTCTCAAAACAAACAAACACAAAAACCAAGGTGATTGTTCATACTGGAAATGCCAGCATTTAAGAGGCTGAAGCAGGAGGACTGCCACAAGTGGTATGCCAGCCTGGGGTACAGAGTGAGACCGTATCTCAAAAACCCAGTAAATAAATAAATGCTGTAGGAGATATGGTAAACCCGATTGAAGCATTACACGATGGACAGGTGTATCGAAACACCACATGGCACCCAGTACCTGTTAATAGTACAATTGTTTTTTTCTCTCAGTTAAAAATTTAATAGAGCTGGGCGTGGTGGCGCACACCTTTAATCCCAGCACTCGGGAGGCAGAGGCAGGTGGATCTCTGTGAGTTCAAGGCCAGCCTGGTCTACATAGTGAGTTCCAGGACAGCTGGGGCTACAGGGAGACCTTGTCTCAAAAAGACCGAAAAAAAAATTTAATAGACAATTTGATTAAAAGTGAAAACTATGAATATGCCGTACTTTATCCAAGGGCAAGTTCCAACAGGTACGAGTTAAAAGGCCCTACAGACTGGGTTGTTGGAGGTACCGCAAGGAGGGATCACAAGGAAGGCCTTGAGAAGGAAGCAGAATTTGAGCCCAGCTTCAAGGAAGAAGATTTTCCACTAGCAAAATGTTAGCACCCATGGATACTTTCAAAAAACTTTATTTAGCTGGGTGTGGTGGTGCACACCTTTAATCCCAGCACTTGGGAGGCAGAGGCAGGCGGATGTCTGTGAGTTCAAGGCTAGCCTGGTCTATATAGTGAGTTCCAGGACAGCTGGGGTTACAGGGAGACCCTGTTTCAAACGGCCAAAAAAAATTTATTATTTTTATTTTATGTGTATGAGTGTATTGCCTGCACATAGGTAGGTGCACTCATTTTGTGCAGTGCCCATGGAGGTCAGAAGAGGGTGTCGTATCCCCTGGAGCTGGAGTTATGGACGATGTTAGCCACCATGTGGATGAACCCCAGTCCTTTGCAAGATCAGCCAGTGCTCTTAACCATTGAGCCATCATCTCTCCAGCTTCCATGAAAACGTTTTTATATTCATAAAGATGAATGGATGCTAAGTGAATAAAGAACAGAAACAAAGCCGTTGATGTTAGGAAAGGTGCTGCTTTTGGGAATGACAAAGGTTTCTGATTGACTATAACACATTATTGTAGTTATTTAACAATACCAAGTATAGTGTGCCTATTCATTCTTAAGGGACAGCTGGGAAATCATGCTAAGAAGTATGCTAAGTTCAAAGCATCAGACATCCATAAGTGACATTTAATAAAGGCTGATGTAAATTTTGAGGTAGGGAAAATTATAGGTTACTATAGTTCTGTCAGACTTAAGTGTTGGGTCCTGTCTCATATTTTCATTCTACCATGACTGGATTGTGATGTGGAGGACACTGTCCAGATGGACAAAATATCTCAGAGGTTATGCTGACAGAGTTTGGGTTAGGACCTGGACTTAACTGTTGCATGCTTACTGTGTCCTAAGCACATTTTCTTCTATTCACTTTGGTAAAGGCCATTGTTTAGGGCTGCTAGAGCACTTGCCTGGCATATGTGGTCCCCCAAGTTCAATCTCTAGTACTGGGGGCTAAAACAAAAAGCCAGGCCCAATGGTGAAGGACTGTAATGGAAGCTAGTCAGGAGGCAGAGGATTATAAATTCAGGACCTACCTGAACTATAGAGTGGGTTGAAGGCTAGCCTTGGTAACTTAGTGAAACTGTCTCAAAGTAGATATAAATGAAACAACAAAAAGTGGGTAAGGATAGAGCTTACTGATAGATTATTTGCCTAGCATGGGGAAGGCTCTGGGTTCAGGCCCCACCCTGAGGGAAAAGTCTATTCTTTATCATCTATACAAGGTCCTGAATAAACTTTCATATTTCTTTTGCCATCTTTTAAGAACCAGAGGGCATGTATAAAGCAAGCAAGAGGTATGAGATAATGACAGTAATGGCTAATATTTATAGACCAGGCATTTTCTAACTCTTCCCTTTGTATAAATCAGTGATTATCTTATAGTCACTGAAACGGTTCCAAGTAGGTTCTCTATTTCCTCACTGAAAAGAATAGTCTGAGTAAAGGCACAGAAGGGAGGTGGGGCACATTTATTCAATACTATCAGGGCTTTTTAATCTATTCATTTGGGTGCTTTTATCTCAGTGAATAAATAATCCAGAAGATACCCTGTGAGAGAGGTATTTTTTTCAAATAATTAAATTTCTTTGACAATTCCACACATGTACATAATGTATATGGACCACTCTTACTCCTCCTTGTCTCCCATCTCTTTCTCAATCTCTCTCTCTCTCTCTGTCTCTCTCTCTTTCATCTGTCTCCATTTTTGCCTACAAATCTCATATTTCCTGTATACTTGTTTTGTGACCCATTGTGTTTAACCAGGGTCATCTGTGTGGCCATGTATTTGGAGCTATCCATTGCTATGGTGGGCTCAGCAGTTGTAGTGGATACCCAACAGTGACTCCCTGTCTTCCAGAATCTATCACTAGCCAATAATTTTAGCAGTAAGAGATAGGGCCCCATGAACCCTACCCTGATCTATGAATGACTGTTGACAGGGCCAGTCTTGTGTGGGCCCAGAGCAGGTAACTGCAGTTGATGTGAGTTCCTGATTTGTGTGGTCGCGTTGAGTCTAGAAGATGGCACTTTGTAGTCCTTCAAAAGGCAGGCATTCTTGTCTAATTTTTATAGAGGAAGTGAAGTTACTTGTGTATAGGACTGTGACACTACAAGCTACTATTTCTAGGATCTAGGATTTGAGTCCAGGTATGACACTGAAGGGTAAGTTTTTTCCCCACAATGAATCACTGCCTCTCAGAAGGGTGACAAGTGTTTTCCTTTTGCTCTCCTGTTGCAGACAAGAAGGGGCTACTGGGAAAACGAACTAAAACTGAGAACACAGAAAATACATCCACTAAGCTGGAGAACTCCAGCCCTCAGAAGACTCCAGCCTCTAAAAACTGTGGGAAGAATTCAAGCAACTACTGGTTGATGAAGTCAGAGCCAGAAAGCCGGCTAGAAAAAGGAGTAGACGTGAAGGTGAGACTCTACCTGTGTCCCAGCCCATCATGCCATTTTTTTAAAAATGAAAGTTGAAGGCTGAAATGGCTCGGTGGGTAGAAATACTTGCTGTACAAGTCTGATGACCCGCGTTTGATCCCTGGAACCCATGGTGGAAGGAGAGAACTCCTGAAAGCTGTCCTGACTTACACACACACACACACACGCACGCACGCACGCACGCACGCACACACACACACACACACCCACCCAACAGGTACCCTAGCAATATATTAAAAAAAAAAAAAAAGGCGATTATGAGATACCATTGGATCCCATCATCTGCTTCTCATCTATACAGAGTAAGGAAAAGGTAAAAATGACTAAAATCAGGAGGAGCTGCAGAAATGGCTCAGCAGTTAAGAGCACTTACTGCTCCTGCAGAGGATCTAGATTCGGTTCCTAGCACCAATGTCAGGTGGCTCACAACTACTTGTAACTCCAGTTCCTAGGGGATCCAAAATCATTCTCTAGCCTCTGAGGCTTCCTGTATGTGGTGTACAAACTCATAAAGGCAAACATAGGCATGTAAATAAATACATCTTTAAAATAAATAAAATTAGCAGTATTTATTACCATTAACTAAAAGTTGACTAACACAATAATTTTGGGTAAGTCCAGAATTCTTGGGACTAGCAATATACCAGATTTTGGAATTTTTTAAATTATGAAATATTTGCATAGACTAAGGTTGAACACCCCTAATCAAAAAAGTCAGAAATCCAAAATACTGTAATAAAATATAAAACTTTTTGACTGTTGGCATGTTTAAGAATATTTTGGTTTCCCAATGTTAAGATTAGGCATGCTCAACCTGTATCTGTTTGGTGAATCTTCTAAGCAAGGGCTAATAGATTTGTTTTCTGCAAAGAGCCAGACAGGCTTATGGGATTTTATGGTCTATGTTGCAACTCTGTCCCTATAGCAATAAGGTGGCCATAGACAGCACAGAAAACAAATAGATATGGTTGTATCAGGTAAAACTTTATTTATAAAATTAGGTATGCAGTGTGATTTGGAATTTGCCAACCTCAATCTTAACTTGAGTTTGTTGTTGTTTTTGAGATAGTCTCACTATGTAGCCCAGGTTGGTATCTAACTGAAAATGCAGCCCAAGTTGTCCTTGAATGCTCTTGCCTTAGTCTCTGGAGTGCTGGGGTTACAGGTGTGTCCCACCACACTTGATGTTACTTTGACTTTTCTCTTATCACTTGCCATGCTCCTAGGTGTCTCCCTGCCAACAGGGATTGAATATAAACTAATTTTAATAATAGCTTGAGAAAAATAGAAATATTATGGAAGAATTATGATCCTTTAATAAGTGAAATGCAAGGAGCCATCAGATTATCATCCTGATCATCCATTCAACTAAATCATCTTAATTAGCAAAGAGTACAAGATAAAACCCAAGGCTTATTTATATTCATTCAACAGCTGTGGCTCTATGGAACCAATTCTCAGTATTCTATCTAGTTCCTTCATAGCTTGTCAAAGAGGGATTTTTTTTGTTTCCATATAAACTTACCAATTGACCAGTGACTGTTAAGTGAATGACTTTATTTCCTCTTGCCTAGTTCAGTATTGAGGATCTCAAAGCACAACCCAAACAGAGAGCATGCTGGGATGGTGTTCGCAACTACCAGGTAAGGGGATAAGAGGCAGGAACCCTGAGACCTGGGCTGGGATATATGCCTGTCTTTCCACATGAATTTTCAGTAGTAGAACTTCCTGGCTAACATTGCTTTTCCCAGAACCCTAACCTAAAAACGTTTTCAGAAACAGCATAATTACTCTGAAAGCGTATAATCTACAAGCGCCCTGGTTCTGGCCAGTGCCCTGGGACAAGGCTAGGAGTCTTGATAAAGGGGACAAACTTTATCTTATGAATCTGGGAAAAGCTGCAGAACAAGAAAAACATGTAAGAAAAGCAGACTTGATTCCTTTTCAAAACTACTGCGTCTTAGCTCGTGGGAGGATAATCCTTATTTCTTCTCCCCTGACACAGGCTCGGAACTTCCTCAGGGCCATGAAGTTGGAGGAAGAAGCCTTCTTCTACCATAGCAACTGCAAACAGCCAGGCATCATGGGACTTATGAAGGTTAAGTGCACAAGTTTTGGGCTGGATTCTTCCCTTCAGGAAGACATATTCATGTAAAGGATACAGCTTAAATAGGTCACAACAAAAGTATCCTCTTCCCTATACTCCCTGTCCCAGAAAAAGAGGAAAAACTTCCATGACCTCTGATAAGGATTAGAATAAATCAGGCCTTCCCTTCAACCCTCACTAACTCTTCTCTTCATCTGAGGTCTGTCAGGATCTCCTCTTAGCTAGAGTTTCAGGATAAAACTATTAATTGTACAATTGGGGGAAAATAAAAACATGTTTCCATTAGTAAATAATCTTTACTGTTTAGTTGTAGAACATGCTTGTAAGGCTGTAAAAAAAGAACTGCTTTTTTAATTACACTGGCTTAGGCTACATATTATTTCCAGATGCCTGAGCACTAATTGTCCCTAGAGCAATGGAAATGGGTAAGAAGTGAAAGTCAGATGCGTATTAAAACTTGGCAAGAGAGCTAAAATGATCGGAGATTTTGGATTTGTTTTCAGATTGTAAAGGAGGCTTATCCAGACCACACACAGTTTGAGAAAAGTAACCCCCACTATGACCCATCCAGCAAAGAGGACAACCCCAAATGGTCCATGGTAATGTGACTATTCTTTTTGTTACATGAAAGGGGAAAGATGGACAAAGGGAGGAAGAAAGTGTGGGTATTGTTAGGTCAAGGAGCAAAGTCCCCCACTCACTCAGATGAGGTTTTGCTGAATTACGATATTAGAACAGAACAGAACAGAACAGAACAGAACAAAGAACAGAAAGAACAGAACGCTGGTAGCCCTAACCCTGGGAGCTTCCTGGGTGAGCACAGAGGCAAATGCTTAGTCTCAGCTACTCAGTAGGCTAAGGCATGAGAACTGATTGAACTGAAGTGCTTAAAGGACAGACTAGGCAACTTACTGAGACTTAAGTTACAAATGTAGTGGGCAGAATCTGATTGAACATGTTTTTGTCCTATACAATGCTGTCACACAGGTGGATGTACAGTTTGTTCGGATGTTGAAGCGTTTCATCTCCCTAGATGAGCTCAAAACCTGTCACCAAGCCCACAAAGCTACTGGTGGTCCCTTAAAAAGCATGGCTCTCTTCACTCACCAGAGACTTTCAGTTCAGCCTTTGACCCAAGGTAAGGGTTCAACCTGGGAGACAGAATTAAACCTCTGAGTTGGTGTCCTCACCAGTGTCACCCATGAGGAAGAGAAATTTGCAGAGTTTCTCATTACTCTATAACTAACACCCTAAGATATTCCATAGTTTTTGAATGGATGACTCCCTGCTTCAGGATCTTGTGACGTGTGCCCTACCCGTGCTTTTAATTAACTTCCCTGTGCAGGAGGAGATACAACACCTAATTATTTTCTTTTCTCCTTTTTGATAGAAGAGTTTGATTTTATTTTGAGCCTGGAGGAAACAGAACCAAGTTAACAAAAGCTGTAGTGATGGAATGGACAAGCCATCATCCAAAAAAAGTTGAAGTTTTTATAAGCCAATAGAAGGAAAAAGCTTGCTGTGTTCACCTGGGATCACGTACATAGGTGGTTTGTTAATTTTTTCAATAAAACATTTGGTGTTAAAGTTGAATGATTTTCTTTGACGCCTTCATTGGGTGTGGTGGAATCCTCTACTGTAGACGTCTTATATCCAGGCTGTTTCCTTTTGCCAAATGGAAGATGCAGGTACCTCTATTATCATTTGTCCTTACTGTATTAGTTATGCAGTGAATAGAAAAATGTAAGCTTGAGTCCCTTGGTCTGCAAACACCCACTGTACCTAACTTTTGATCTTTCTATACCATTTTTGGTCTTCTTCATCTGCCCTTAAGTCCTATGGGTCCTGCAGAAGTGTAAAACATAAAGTGATTCAGTATAAGCTGTCAGACAAGGATAAAGCCTGGATTCACTGAGCAATGTACTTGTCTAAAATAGGTGGTTAGTAAAGTATTCATTATTGTTTACCCAGAACCATCCACTGAGAAAGCAGGCCAAGTGTTGGAGTCATGCTGAGTGTTTCTTTCCCAGTATGTCAGATGGGATAGTATCAGAAGGAAAAGACCACAGAATCTGGTGGACCATGGGCACAATGCCTCCAAAGCCACAGGGGCTTCCTTTAATTAGAGACACTATTAAAACAAATGTTCTTTTAAAGTACAGCCATTGAAAAGACAACACATTAAGAAACATGTAAACACTGCAGCTTCTTAATTACAAGTTGCACTGCTTGGTTTAGTACCTATGCACTCCAAGTTTGGGAACCTTAAAGGATGGGGATGGGAGCCTCCCCACACCTTCACAGTTGGCAGGGACAAGAGAACAGGGGCAGAATCGGAGAAAACAAGACCTGGCTTGTGCACAGCTCCTGAGAGAAACAAAGCAAATTCTACCTTCTAGTTCTCCCAGAAGAAAGGCTTAAGATGTTAGCAAAGTTGGAAAATGAAATTTGTATTGTCAGCTTGGAGGCTGAGAAATTGACAAATGCTTTCAATTAGCTATTAAAAGGAGGCAAACCAGAGTCTAATCTCATACCCTGAAAAAGGCAAGAGCAAGAACCTACCTCCCTCATATGCTAAGGCCCAGCCTTGATAATCCAAGGGCAGCTGGACGGGTAAACCTGTTCCCATGGGGACTGTATGTCACACCTAAACTTGGGGTCTGGCATCGGCAAAAAAAAATTATTTTTCCTTTGTTCTGTTACCCTAGTCAACCTCAAGTGTGACCCCAAGTGTCTTTCCTTCTATCCCAACTCTGATCCACCAGCCCCACCCAGTCAAGGCCCAAGATTGCACTGATTTCTGAGGAAGAGTCCCCATTTTCTACACTAACTGAAAGACAACACAGGAAACAAATCCTCTACTTTCCAAATCACCAAGAACACAGACTGCCAAATACTGTACTTGTTGGATATCGGGTCTGTTTGGTCTTTCTATGCTTGCTTGACCTTTCTATATAGGGAAGGGAAGCCAAGAGGAGATAATTCCTGATCATTCTCAGATGAGGCAGAAAAGATAGTAAACACCTTTACTACTACAGGCCCAAGCACAGAGCAGCAGGAAGAACTGCCTCTTCTCTAGTGTAACAACATCCACCAGAGTTTTCCTATTTGTTTTTAAATTAAAAAAATACCAATGAATTGGTCAAGATGAAGACATAATTTGGCAAGGAGAATTATTCTGAAGTGGTAGCAGAGACTTCTGCAAGGGCCCTAATCTCGCTCTCCCTTAGCTTGTAGATAGGATGAAAGGGTTTGGGTTGAGAGTAAGAACAAAATTTCTAAGTGCCTGAAACCAAGCTCCTTTAAGTGGAGGGCAAGGAGTGACAATAGATCACTTTTAGGGAGGCCAAAGGATCCTGGCCCCTTCTCAGGATAAATACTAAAGGAAACAGACTCTTTTGCTTACAGCTTGTTGGGTCACATAGAATAATTCCCTAGAACAACCCAGACCTTGGGGTTGCCAAGTGGAGTCCTGTGGTGAATACAGACAGTTGCCTTGTCTGATCTTCCTTCCTCAGTGGACTCAGCCTCCTGGGCATCCATGTGTGACACTGGTCTCAGTTCTTCTCTGAGACATTATTTCTTACAAGTGAGAGGACAGTCCCAGGCCCTTCCCTCAGGCAGTTCTAGTATATTTCTGACAAGCCAGAGAAGATGGAGAAGGGAGGTGCCTGGTGCCAGAAGTAAGAGGCCAGAGGTGACTGTGGAAACTTCAAAGCACCACGTCCCAGACTCCCCAAGAGGTAGCTTCCTGATCTTGAGTCTTTCCCCAATTTAGGATGGGACAGGTCCAACAACTTCTACCACTACCACAGGGACAGTCGAGGGGAGTATAAGACGTGACTACCCAGGGCCTTACTGGCAGCTGAATCCCAGGGACACACTCAGCTTGAGAACCAGGGCCAAAGATGTGAGCTCTGGCTATGCTCTGTGGCTTGAAACAGCCTCAAAAGACAGCTTTCATTCCCTGGGGAGAGACTAGCTTCCAAAATATTTCCTCTCCCTATCTCCACCTGCACTGCAGAATCCCATGGAGACTGCTGCCCAAGCCAAGCCCCCTAGGTTCTTCAGAGAAAAGAATTTAAGTCAAAAACATGATTTGTTTTCAAGGTTGCAAGTAACGGTCGGTTGAGCCTCACACCATCCTCCCCTTCCCCCAGTCACTGGTGTTTAGTAGACAGGGTGCTGTGGTGGAAGCCCAGCAACTTCATGGCCCCAAGGGCCTACTGCCTGCTGTTGCTGTCAGACAGCTGGCCGGGGGTCCGCACCTCACCCAAGGAGGTTGTGCCCTCGAAGCGCTGTGAGGCAATGGCTGCCTGATGGGACATGCTCTTCCGTACGATGTCACCCTTCCGCCACAACACCACTTCCTATAGAATTAGAAGGGACAACACAGTATCTGAGAGCAGGTTCAGAGATGCATTTCTCAGGAGCCCCCATCTTGGTCCCAGGGACTCTCCAGGAATATCCTCCTTTGCTCATCTTTCACCAAAGCAGTGGATCCCAACACCTGTGCCCCTGTGTCCACAAAGGCAAGTTGTTTGCAGGAATTAGGCCTAAGAAAGCAGACCCTAGGTATCAATTAGGCATCCTCATTCCTGCTTGTAGGATTCTGGGCAACCTTATGTTTCCACCTTTGGTAAAATAAGTGATACAGAGGCTTGGCTTTCTTTCCCTTTAAAGCATTCTGCTTGATATGTCAAGATGGCCCTGTGTGGGAATGACTGCCTTTCTGTTCCGTCCCCAGGGGATCTAGGGTCCTGGAAAAGGCACCCACCTGCTGCTTAAAGTAGCGTCGTTCCTCCTCATCTATCAGCACCAGGTTGAGGTAATAGCGCACAGAGAACTTCTTGTTGATGTCCCTCATGGTGGGCGTGAGCTCATACCCTGCCAGGAAGAGCCGGATCGGGATGGACTCTCCTATAAGGAGTGAGGGAAAAATGAAGGCAAGAGGCAAAGGGGCAAGAGGCAAAGGGGCACTGTTATACACCAACTCCCTTTCGGGCCATAACAGGTGATACTCTAGTTGAGCAAGGCATGGAACACTAAGCAAAGGCTTCTGCCATTGGGAATGCTGTGCAGCGCTACTCAGCAGTTTTCTTGATGTAAAAATGTGGTTTTTCAACTCCATCCAGATTTGTGTCTTCGGAACACGCTATCAGCATCCCAACGCAGAAAGCTGTAAGAAAAACTGAGCGAATGGAACAGGAAAACTACTGTTAAGCATCATTCTTTTATGTGCAATGAGCCTAGTTACTGAGTTTTCTTTTTTGTTAATTTGAAACATGGTCTCACTATGTAGTCCTGGATGTTCTTGAACTCACGACAATCTTTCTGCCTCAGCCTCCCAAGTAGTGGGATTATAGGCCTGAGTCAACATGCCCAGTAAATTGCTGGGTTTTCTTTGTCTTTTTAAAAAAATTTATTTTATTATTAATTATTAATTATGTGTATGTGGGGGAGGAGTATGTACACATGAGAGTGTGGGTGCCCCTGGAGGCCAGAGGCATCACATGCCCCTGGAACTGGAGTTATAGGTTATAGAATAGGTTATACAGGAACTGGAGTTATAGAATATGGAGTTGTGGGTGTCCCAACATGGGTGGGTGCTGGGAACCAAACTTAGGTCCTGGTATAAGAGCAGTATGTGCTCTTAACCACTGAGCCATCTTTCCAGTCTAGTTACTGGATTTCCAAGAGGCAGCTGTCAAACTGTCAGTTTGCTATGTCACCCAACATTGCAATGCCACCTTCCTCCAACTAAGTTAGTGTATGCCCCCAGAATACATCCCCACTTGAATATTGATCTGTGTGGGGTGAGGTGGTCTGGAAAACAGAACTCTGTTCTGGCCCCTGTTCTAGCCAGTTTGACTTTTGAATAATCATTGCTTTCATGTGGAAAATCAGAGATTCTAGCTATGTGATAATTTAGGTCCCATCTAGTGCTAATAAGAGGAACAAAATTAGGGCAGTAATTCTACTGAGAAAGGCCAAAATCATAATGCAGTCTAAAGCTAAATATAAATGATCTTTTAACTATCTGCTTTTCTGTGCTGTTTCTCTGTGTCCCATTTCATCTATACAGGAAAAATGACAGTTGGCTCTACTTGCACCACTGGTCAAAAAATGGAATACCAAATTCAAGAGGACTGGGTTCAAACAACCCCAAGTATCAGACATAGTGAAGATTTAAGAAGCCATGGTGTCTCCAGTGTTAGGAGCTAATGTCTTTGGGACATCTTCCTTTCACATGGACAAGATATTGAGAATGCACTGATGAAAAGCTTGAACCATCAAGCACTTTAAAGTGAGAAGAGAACTGCATCCTCAATTTCAGTAAAGCCAATGAAGAATATAAATTATTGCTATTCCCAAATAATCATCTAAAGTTCCCAGATAACAAAGAGCTTTCAATCCCAGTCATCCCAGGGACTCAGGGAGGATCCATTCATTTTATGGGGCACTGTTTCCATTGGTTCTTGGCGTTGTCTCAAGCCAGCAATCTAGTAGTGCCCCTTTATCGTAGACAAATGAATTTACAGTGTGATTCAGCTTACCATAGTAAGCAATGAAAATGACTAGGGTGTATGAATTCCATACCATGAGCATCAAAACATGTCAGAATGTCAAGAGGAAAAAGCAATGAAATATTCAAAACTTCATCTTAAATCAGTTTTCAAACTTTCCACTTTTTCTTGACAGTGTCTCATATAGCCCAAGTTGGCCTCAAACTCTCTATGTAGCCATGGAGAACCCTGAACTCCTGATCTTCCTGTCTCCACCTTCCAAGTGCTGGGATTATAGGTGTACCCCAGCAGGCCCAGCCGAGATAAAATCTTAAGTACAAGTCAATATATAAACAAAGTTAAGGTGGAGCTGTTGTGACTGAGGGTAGGGTAGGAAGTTGAAGTTTCACAGACATAGCTTTTCCTTCCTCTTTTCCCATTAGTAATGGACTGAACCCAAGGCCTTGTTCACCACCACTGAGCTGCATCTAGACTTTCTACTCTTCCACATTGGCAACAATGGTACACATACAATTTGAGATCAGGAAATCAGATTAATAGGCTATCTCACAGAAAGGCATGATGGTACAAACCTGTAATCCCAGAGCTGGAAGGCAGAAGCAGGAGGATCACTTCAAGTTCCAGTCTAACCTAGGTTAGGCTACACAGAGACTTTGTCTCAAAACAAAACAAAACAAAACAAAAAAGAAGCCATTTAACTTCAACAGTGTAATGTCTCAAGCCCATCCCAAATTCTGTACAGGGCCCAGGAGCAAAGGATGGCAGAAGGCTCACCTCGAACTGGTGCACCGTCCATGATTTCATACTTGGCTATCGTGTCATTCTCGTGGTACACATTGGGACCTGTGCCTGTTGTTTCTCGTTTGATGATGTCTATCTCCATGTGCTTGATTTTGATTCTCACCAGCAGGAAATATATTTTCCCTACAATGACATCTTTCAAGTGGTATCTGAAGAAGAAAAAGGAGAAGGAAATGGTGGTGCAGGGGCTTGCCCCCTTGATGTGGTGGGGAGGCACACTGTGGGTCACGCATGTTGGTTAAAGGTCTAGTTGAAGTGCACCCTCAACTTCACTGCCACAATGGTTTCCTCATATATCCTTTGCCGGAATCTGAGTGGCTTCTACATCCTGCTCAAAGGATAGATACCCTGAATATTATTTTGCCTATTAATACTTGTTCATCTGCTCTGTCTCCTCAGCATGTACCCTATGTATTTGTTTTGGGTTTTTAAAAGTATTTTATTATTTTTATTTTATGTGTATGTGTGTATTGCCTGCATGTAGGTAAGTGCACCCATGTTGTGCAATGCCCACAGAGGACAGAAGAGGCTGTTGGATCCCCTGGAACTAGAGTTGTGGACAGTTGTTAGCTGCCATGTGGGCGCTGGGATTTGAACCTAGGTCTTAACAGCTGAGCCATCTCTTTAGCCCCAGTATTTGTTTTTTAAATATATGTATTTTCTAACGTATTCAGCTAGTCCCACAAACACAGGAATTAGGTGTCTCCCTTCTTTGTAGTCTCCATACAATGTCTTCTGGGAACTGGGCCTCAATAGTTCTGTTAGTTCTGTTGCTGGACAGGCCAGGCAGGAACAATAGAGTGAGATGAGTGATGAGTGAGTCTCATCTGTATCCATCCCTGCTCTCTAGGCTCTGCCTGCATGACTTGTGCTCCATGAGCTACTAGGAATTTAGCCATGTTGTATATCACAATTTTTTTTTTTTTTTTTTTGAGACAAGGACTTCCCGGGCTCCCACCTTACCAGTAA